GATCTAACAGTTATAAACCCGACAGAATGGTTCCGTAACGGGACCGTAACATCTCCCTTATTTGTATTGTAGATTTTATTTTTATTTTTTACTTATGGTTATGTAGCATAAATAAAATATTTTTTCGCTAAGTAATTGCACTCATAGTGCTTTTGACCCTTCAGTGTCAAAGGTAATAATTAACAGACATATATAAATATATATATATATATTCTAATTTGCAATAATATTTTTAAAGTTGGTCAATAATTAAAAAATATATATATATATTAAAATTTATTCAATTATTTATATTACGATTTTGTAAAAAAGTTAATATTATTGGGGATTTTGAATCATTAAGTTCATCTCTAAATCAGCACTTCATAAAAACGAAATTCCACAATTTTCTCTTTGTTTAAATGCGGATTCACCAGCAATGCCACGAAATTTGACTAATAATAAATTACGTACCAAGAAAAGAAAAGGAAAAAAAATCATATAAAATGTTACAATTAAGATATGTCCGTGATTTCTGTAATAATGACATTGCAAACAAACGTATTTATAAGTTAAAAAATCTCAAGTTTAGTCTTTACTTGAAAGGTATCAAAGTTCAGTTTATTCATAAGTTTAGTAGCACTAATGCTCCCCTACTCACGGTGTGCACATGTTCATATGTCCACCGCTTATGTGACATGCACACGTTGGTGATGTATTTTTCAAAATGATGGTGATAATAACATCATCAATGTGCGCATGTCACATAAACGATGGACATATTAACATGTGCACACCGTGCGTATGGGAGCATTACTGAGTTAGTAATGCTCCCATACCCACGGTGTGCACATGTTAATATGTTCACTGCTTATGTGGCATGCCCACATTGGTGATGTATTTTTCAAAATGATAGTGATATTAACATCACCAATGTGCGCATGTCACATAAGCGGTGAGCATATTAATATGTTCCCACCGTGGGTAGGGGAACATTACTGAGTTTAGTTGATATCGATATTCATGGTTGTAAAAATTTGTCAAAATGATGTTGATTATAATGGCATTAGTATTCTCTTACACCAGTGCGGTACCTGCATGCACGAACTAGTTTTATTAAGGTAGACATTTAAAATTTGGATAATTGGATGATTGGAAGAATGTAAAACGAATGTTAGAATAAACAAAATGTAATTTACATATTATTAAATACATCATTGTACACAACATTATTTGTTTGGTCTTTTGGTACATCGTCTGTCACTACAAATTATATTAGATTCGAGATAGGCTTAAATAAATTAATTATTTATTTAGGGATATATATATATGATTTTGTAAGTGTATACAATCATTATTTATATTGTAAGTGTATACAATCAATTTCAAATTTGTATTATAGAAAATTAAACATAATCCAATTTTTAGGATGTTCCAATCCAATTTTATGTTGAATTGCAAATTAATATTATCTGACTCTATTTTATGTTTAATCCGAACTAAAGAAACTAATAGCCAAATGATAAGAGATTTTAAATTTTAATTTTTAGTTTGAAATTGGGCTCGATTTTTATGCAATCGGATTTTTTTAATAAACATGATATGTTGCAATTAGGTAAACATACATGTTATAGTATTCTGCCTAGTTCAAAATTTCCTATTTTATGGTAAGCATATTTTATTAATAAACAATGAGTCACTTTACAAAATTGTCATGTCGAATTTTACACAATTTAACCCGATTTCTATGCAATCCGATTCTTTTACTAAACAGTTAATTTATTGCAATTAGTAAAAGATATATGTAATAGCATTTTATCTAATTCAAAATTCTCGATTTTATGGTAATCAATTTTTTTTTTAAATAAAAAAATGAGAAAGAATTTGGACTTTTTTAAAATTGGAAGCATCAATCGAAGTTTACCTAAATTAAATTCATAATACCCATGAATTTATGGCGCAATATAGTTGATTGATCTTTTAGAAATAATTAAAACAAAAAAAAAAAAAAATTGTCAAAATAAGAATATAATAAATGCTGATTGACTTTTCTTGTTACTATTTTTAGTTAATAGGTTCTTACATAGATACAAATATAGATGTGCATGTATATACTAAGGAAATCAATTTAATTATATGAACTATTAAATAAACTTTAAATTCAATAGTATGAAAAAAAAAATGAATTATTAAAAGTAACAAAAATCTTTGTTTTGCAAGATATTTTGGTCCTCTCTGTTTAAAAATATTTTTATTGTTTTAATTGAAAATTTTAAATTACCAACATATATAACAGTTGTAGTCTAAATTTTTAATCACTACATTACATATTAAGTTAATACATTATGGTGGCACATAACTTAATAAACATGATTCATAATAAAACTGCAAAATTGTAGTTTAAAAAATCAGTTTCATGCATCACTTATCTCACATGCAACATTTTTAGCTATTTTTTTTTTTTTTTTAATGTTTTAGTTAATGTTGTACATAATAACCTCATGTTCTCTAGGTCCTACTAAGCCAAAAAGTACATAAATTATGCTTATTGTAAATTAGGCCTAAATTACGGAAAAAAACCAGGCCAAAGAAACTCTTCTGCCAAGCTCTGTCGATCCACATTCATCACAGGTAGAGGTTGTCGAACTATTTTCTATTCCTTCCTTCCGAAGATTACCAATCTCACTACATTATGAACAAAAACGACAAAGTAAAATAGTAAAGCGACCGTCCAGTCAATTCCATCATCAAAAAATTAGTTTTTGCATGAGAATGTGTGTCACTCCTCTGCTCCCTTTGCTGACCCTTAAGTCATGACTATTTTCTACTTTTTCTGTATGTAAATTCATCCTTTGAGGCTCTAAACAAACAACAATCAATTCTTGAGAAAAATGTAATTGTATCACTACTCTTTTCCTTGTCATCTATTCATAAGGATAGACAATCTATAATTCATGCTTTCAACTTTATTCATAAATCACAAACCTGTTTAATCCCCTTATTTGTAGCAATAAATCGTGACATAATCCTCATTATCTCGTAATTATATTACCCTATTATTATGGTTGATTTCTCCAGTCAACAAAATGGCGCTAGGAGGAGGGCGACCATCAAAGAGTTTTCTCTGAATTTATCCTTATAAATATTCGTACACTACACAAATTTATTTTCAAGAAAAACCACCACCTACAGCCTTATTGTGGTGCTTCTTGTCCATATATACCGGTTAAAAGGGCACGGTTGACCCTCTAGGCAATTCTTTTCATTGTGATACACTGCTCGAACAAATATTCCATGAAAACGCTTTTATGGTATTATCTATTTGCCTCCTCTCACCACAAAAATTTAGATTTGAAACTTTTTGTCAACTCCCATGTTTGTCGACCTTCGACAAGAATACATATCGATTAGCTCACGCTCGACAAGAACGTAGTAGGATGGGAAGCATTGGTCCTAGAGTAACGGCCGCTTCAAAATAGCCGGAGGCCTAAGGATGACTTTGAAAAGAATATCCTATATGATTCTTTCTCAGGTGTTGTCCTTAGGTTTTGAAACATTCAACACAACGATCAACTTGTTCAATCGGGAAGTCACTCCCTTGTTCTTGATCATGTCCGTCCGAAGTTCAGATGCCAAGTTGGGTTGGTTGATAAAGAACAGGGGCCTGCCAACCCGATCTCAATGAGTAAACTCGACCTTTCGGGTTGAGATCAACCATCAAGGTCAGTCGAGGC